TTCTTGCTAGCTAACCTAAACAACCAACAGGGACAACATAAAAGTGAATATAAAAAGACATGAGGAGGCCAGTTAAGTTCTACTTGCCCTTAAGAAGATGAAAAGAGCATTACAAAATGCAGGATGCAGTGTTGACACTCGGGAGAGCAAGCTACAATAGGATCCATTTTTCTGGACAGAGAGTAAACTTAACATCAGAGATCTTTTTTTAACCCCCGGATATGGATATCTCAAGAGAATGCTGGAAAGTTCCACATTTTGGGAAATTTGCTTTCTAGCAGAGAGTTGGATGAGAAGATTGATACGTCTCTCACATTTGTCCTTTAAATATGAAGCTAAAGCCAGCTGCCAGGAGGCTTAATGTAGTACAACGACTGGAAACAGGGGGAACAGCTAGCCCGTCTCTGCTCAAAGGTAACAACCTGCCAAGCAGCACCTCAAATTAATCTTATACCTCATTTGTTTAATGTGTACAGAAACCTAAGTGTGTGACAACTGAGAACAGGTTAGTGCTGGATGTTTCTTGGATTTGAGCAGTTGCCAGACATCCAAGAAATAGTCCCATATGTAAAACAATGAATTGTTTGGTTAATTAGAAACCTATTGAGGTCCTGGTAGATGGATTTTGTTACTTCTGGACAGATGAAGGCTAGCCATTTCCCCCTGTTTCCAGTGTTTGTGCTAAGCTAAGCTAACTGCCTGCTGGCTATTATACCAAACGGATGAGTGTGGCATCAGTCGTTCCATCTAACACTCTGACATTAAAGGTCCAGTGTGTACCATTTAGGAGGATCTACTGACAGAAATGCATATAAAATACATGACTATGTTTGTATGCAAGTTTTGTAACTACGTTGAATATGTATGAAGATGAAGGAGAAGAAGAAGTAGTAGGAATAGAAGGTAGAAGAAAGTAAGAAGAGAAGTCAAATTTGGACAAATGGAAGATCAACAAATGTTGTTTAGCACAAGAGACGACAGAGCATGTTGGCTTCTCCTACGCACTTGAAAATAGAGGTGAGTGGTGACTATGCCAATGTTTGCAACTTGCAACCCTCACCACTAGATGCCACTACAACTTACACACTTAACCTGTGAAAAGGCATATTTCCTTAAATGTAAAACTATTCCTTTAATCTCTGACAAGCAAAGAGCTTGGAGTTCCCCATTAGTGCCTGTTTGAAGGACAAAAATTGCAAAAAGATAAACAAATAAAAATCAACAGTAAATGTAAATAAAAAGCTAACGAATGAGGGCACAGGCAACATTCACAAAGCCCCCTATGTCATTCAGCCTTATTATGAGTTATCTATCTACAGCTCAAACCATACACTAAGTACCCTATTACTGCACCGTGCAGCCTAAATGTACCAACTTACCCATCATATGGATATCTGATGATTGTGTGAGGAAACAGAAATCATGGAAGGGAAGAGAATGGAAGGAAAAAAGACAAATGAAAAGAAATGGAATAAATGGTATTCACATGCATTCCCACACAGAGATCCCTCACGGGAGCTTCAACTCACAACAACATGTCCTGCTGATTCTTCTGAAAGACGGCGCCGATATGTTGGAAGATGTCTGGGTTAAAGAGGTATATACCGCAGTTTATGATGTCGCTCACAAATGTGCTCGGCTTTTCCACATAATGCAAGACCTGAATAAAAATATTTAAAAAAAAGACAAGTAGCTTTGATTTCAAGATGAAATAGTAATGATTGACTATTTAGGGAAATATGGTAGGAAGGTTTAATACCTCGTTTGTTTCCTCGTTTTCAACAATACAGCCATAATTCATGGATTGCTTTCTGTTTGACTGATAAGAGAAAAATGGCAGAAGCAAAAATTAAACACGCTAGATATCGAAAGAAAAGCTTTTTGGAGTTTTACTTTGACTAAGTTCTACAACTGTCACTAATGAAATCTCACCGTTGTCCCAAGGATAACAAAGCTGTTTGGTTCTCCATGTTCCTTCTGGAAGTTGAGCATCTCTCCGAGAGGAAAAGCTGAGCAGACGTCAGCATTCAGAACAAAAAAAGCCTCTGGACTGCCAGAGACAATCTGATCTCTAAAGTGATAGATGCCCCCTCCAGTGCCCAGGGCTGCATACTCCTGCAAGTACCTGCGGCGCAGAGCCAGGAAGAACAATGCAGTGATTCAGCAGTGGTAGTACACCACAACAGGAAAAGTACTGCCACTTGTACAGAAAACACTAACTTGAGAGAAGCAATATATTAGTATTTCTGTTAATAACGCATTCAACAAAAAACAATAAATCACAGTTCAGAGCATCTGAGAATATTTAACTGGTGTCTATTCTTTACACAATGATGTGTAATTAAGAGAAGAAAGAAGGCCTTGTACTGTAAAAAATGTTTTTACGAAATGTGATACCTCAACAGTACATATAACATATATACAGTTCAATATGCAAGTAATAGATATGTCTGCACTTGTTTAGTAAGGTACCTAGGAGCTCTGTTGTTTTACCTGTTTTTGAGCTCTGTTGTTTACCTGATGGAAATTTTGAACTCCTGCTGTGCATTAAACAGGAATCTGGTCAGTTCTTCATTTGGTTGATAAAAGCCGATGAGCAAAATCTCCTTCATATTTGGTACCTTGAAAGACAAAAGATGTTCATTATTGGATTGATTTCATTAAAGGCTATTCTCTGAATCACAAGCCACCTACCACCAACCAGGTGGGCAACTGGGAGAACAAGCTCTTTACTATTTAGCACCCAGTTAGGCTAATACAGACTGATTCAACTTCAGGATTCACGTGATGCTATGAAGGGGCCAAACTTAAAACATAAGTTCACAAAAAAACTTCTTACTAACTAGATACAATCTGTAAGTTGAATATAGGGCTGGGCAATAAAATGATAACAATAATTATAGCAATATAATTATCCTCGATAAATATTACAAATGTTCCATAAACGTTTGATTCAATTCATTTGAATCATGAACAAATTAGCACTTAATTTTTCTATAAGATGTTAATTTTGTTGAGGGAAAACAGACTGAAAAAGATCTTACTTAATTTTACTCATGCATATTTGTTGAAAAAAGATTATAAGAGATAAAATTGTTTTGAATGTTCTACCTTATATTTATAACTGTTTGGCAAGTGTCTGTCATGTGACCATAAAGAATAGTTTAAAACCACAATTAACCATCTGGTTGCCCAGGCCCACTTGAATATATAACATATTCACGATGTTACCTTTAAACAATCTACTTTAGCTTCCACAATCGCAACTACATTTGCTAATAATCCACTGCTCAGTGACTCCAGCACTGCAGTGTCACTCACCTTGGCACATGCTTCAATGTGATGTTGCAGCATGGGCACACCAGCTACTGGAAACAAGGGTTTGGGGACTTCAAATGAGAGCGGCCTGAACCTTGTACCTGCAAAGCAATATGGGGGATTACATGCAAATCTGATTACATTGCAGGACACGTTTTCTCACGTTTCTAGTGTGTGCATCGAAACAGAACATTTAAATATATTATTATTATAAGTGATGTCCTGTCCTCTTTCAGAAAGGTTGCATTTTAAATGTCCTTCTTTACAGACAAATAACTTCAACATAGGATTGAAGCAAATTAAAACACAAGGCAGCACATAATCCCTGTGAAATCTCCACTTAGTTGAGTTAATATCTGTTTACTAACGTTACATGACGGGCTGAATATCTACCGAACTGATTTACACTTATTTACATGTTGGCAGTCAGTGTTAAAAATATTGAGCTATGAAGTCCTAAATGTTCCTGTTTTGTTTTGTTTTGTTTTGTTTGTGTGGCGCCCTCTCATTCTGCCACGTCAGTGATATAAACAAGTTCAGCCTCGGAGGGCTTGTTAGCGTTAGCCACCCAGCTTCGCTTTAACCAGGCAGAGCTGACTCTGAACACGGGAAAAGAGATTTATTCTCACCTTTCTGGGGGCCTCCAATTAAAATAACAGCCTTCAACATCTTGACCGACAAGCTGTGATTTGTAACAGCCAGGGTCCTGCTGAAAACTACCTGCTGTAAACTACCTGCTGTTCGACGAATATTTCCGCATCCACTTCCTTACACGTGACGTTTGCGGAAGTCAGAGTGAAAACGCGGAGCGGAGTCCATCTACTCATCCCATCAACAGTGTGCGTAGTTTCAGTGGTGACTCTGTTGTGCACTTGGCAGATCAGAGGATTCTACAAATGCAGATGTGAAAATATACATGCAATAGCTACTGAATGTGGTCTCATACGAAAATGCTCTGAAAGTGTATTATATGTGATAAAATCCAAAAATATAAAGCAAATACATATCACATGTTTTTTTTGTTTTTTTTAAATTTAAGACTACAATGAAATAAATCACTTAAAATGAGCACTTAGTATTTTGTTACCTTGTCAAGTCATATGTTTGTCCTATCCCTGTATAATTATTCATGGTTATTATGTTGCTTTATTTACAAAAACTTATCTGTAATAGTTTTTTTTTTTCATAGCAGACATTTTGAAATGTTATGGTAAGAAAAGCACAGGTGTTCATAATAACACTTTGCTTTTATAGAGTATCTTTTACATGTGCACAAAGTAGGTTTTGCTCTTTTTTTGAGTTGAGGGAAGTTACAGAAGTGGGGAGAAATAACTCTGCTCTCAGTTTTGAACACTCATAAAGACAACAAATAACACGTACACCGCTCTAATGAAGGAGTTTGCTTTCATATTTCCTCATTAAAACGTAACCTGCAGTAAAACAGTCTCCCATGTGGCGGTATTCATAACTCAAACATATGCAAATATGATGCGAAACAGCATCAAACAAACAGAATAAAATTTTAGTCAACAAGCACCAGGGGACAAGGTGCTTTGGTTTAAGTCCTTCTGCAAGAGCAACAGAGGAATTGAAGAGAGCTGTATCGCCTCAAAAGGTTAAAAGGTTCATTCGTTTGCATTCTCGCCATTTCAGGCTTCCTTTATGAAAAGCATATTCAAATGTGCATGGGAAGAAGACTGTTTTTATTATACTGGAATAACGTTCATCCATTGACTTGTCACAGTATAACAAATCTTCCAATATATTAAAAAAATATGTACAAATTTGCTTTAAATTGGCTATAAAAACATTCCTTGCAGACTATGATGCCACAGTCAACGTCACATTATATTCTCATACAATAGAAACATAGAAAGAAAATTAAAGATCTTTCACAATACACATTTTAAACTAAAGTCAAAGTGATTGCAAATCATAGTGTATGCCTACATATTACTTGGTTCAACCCCACCCTGTGTGTTTAATAATCTTCATTATAACTGTTGGCAGTTATGGGTAATTGTATAGGCTACCATAGGAAAGAATCTCCTCAACAGAATTTCAGTCACGTTTCATAGGTTCCAAAGTACTACTACTAGTCCAGTCTTTCACATACGTTGCTGTTCATGTTCGTGTAGAGTAACCACTAAAACTGGGGGGGGGGGCACTGTACAATCACATGCATCTTTTAAGGTAAAACTGAATTGGGTGTTGGATTCAGCAAACAAAGATTTATGTGAAAATATTTTTTCCATACATTGTGCTGACTTTAACACAAAGTAACAACAGAAAGAGTGTGTGTGTGTAATTTTGTAAATGAATGGTACCATTACAGTTGAAAATAATAACAAAATCTATCTTTCACAATCAAATACTCAAGTCCAAAAATCTCAACTTCCACAGCGAGGTTAATGACTCTTCAGCAGCACGGTAAATGTGAAACCAGCATACCAAATAAGAGCCAACGTACCAAAGATCTTCATGGCTTCTAAAACAATGCAGCCTATCACTTGCCTTAAAAATAAACCAGGTTGTGCAATAAAAAAAACACAGTACCTAACATGCTAAATTAACCCATGTAGTGTGCACACTAGTCAGCAACCTGTGTTTCACACACCAGAATCAGAAATCTGGTTGCACCTACTAGTAAATTTTACAGTTTATGTCTCTCTGTTAAAGAGGCCACATTGTTCTGTTTATAAACAAAACTTTTTTTTGCATAATATACAGTATATGAAGAGGTCAGAGGCTTTGTGATTAATATCATGCAGTAATGAAGTTGTGACTAGTGGTTCTGATACATGTTGATAAAAGTCATAAATTATTCAATGCCCCTTTAAATTTACAAAACTGGTTTCTTTGAACAGCCGTGGCCTTTAATACAGTACCTCAGAGCTGCGCTCATCGTTACTTTACAACTGCAGTTTGCTGTTTTAGTACCACTTCCAGTTCAGGTGAGCACCCTCCTCTGTTCGTCGGTGTTCAGCCAACTTCTGGTCTTAGTGTTACCACTTCTATCTCCTGTTGTAGTGGTCTTTGCGTTTTCGCAGCTCCTCCAGCACCCGAGCCCTGAACTGAGTCCAGTCCTCGTCCTGGTACTGCTGGAGGCCCAGGGCCAGATGAAGATCCGCAGAGTGGCTGCGCAGGAAAGGATTGTACTGCCTCTCGTCTCCGATAGTGGAGGGACTCTGAAAAGGAAGTGAGCGTCAAAGAGCAGCTCTCGTCACAACTGATGAGTGTTGTCCCTCTCTGGCGATCACAATGACTCACATATCGGCCATTCATTTGCAGAACAGAATTGTGGGTAACAAGTAGGGCTGAACGATTAATTGCATTTGCGATATTATCGCGATATGATAAAACAAGATTTTCTAATCATAAAGGCTGCGATTACGCTCTGGTCACATGACACGCGAGTGTAAACCAGTAACTTAGCTTTTACCATTTAGTTGAGCATAATCCACACTGATTGTCAATCCAGATGATAAAACCCTGGATCACTGAAGTTAAAAGCAGCTAATACAAGAAGAATTTCTTCTATCATACTGTTCAATGTAAACCGCTTTGAGCAACACGTCTTTCAGAAAGCAAATTCTAATACGTAGCTAATGGATATCGAGCAAAAGCAGCACTGTTAAAAAGCCACATATGAGGTAGTATCACAGCCAGCCAGATAAGCCACTATAGTTGATCATTTGTCAAGAATTCATCTAATTTTAGCATGGTAACAATCAAAAAATACAGGCCTTGTTCGCGGATGACACATGTCACTGTAATCACCGGAGTAAATAATAAAATTAATGATGGCTGACTTCCATTTAGCTGCTTCAGTTTCAGGGTCCTGGTATTGTGTGCTGGCTCACTGTCATGCTGTCATGGCTTGCTGGGACACTTAAATAGCCAAGAGCCAATTGTATTAGCAACACCTGTGCCTTCCCTGCTCTTATAACTCGAAATGCCTGCTGTTAAAAAGGCTTATTACCAAACAGCAGACTCAAGGTGCCTTCAAATATCAACAGCATTTAGTCTGGCCTTGTTTAAGTGGTTCTGAAGACAATCCAAGCTGCACGTGCACCATGAGATGTTGAATTTGCTTCTCTCACTAATATTCAAAATCCCCTGGTGACATTTTAGTATTGTTGCTAAACGGCCAAAAATTCGACAAGACGGCTGCACCATTACATTAAACATCAGTTTATACAACTTTCTCACAATAGTTTGTTTTTCTGCATGATAACTTTACCTCTGATCTGCACATCATGTTCATCTTAAAAGACAACCCAAAAGATCAAAAAATTATTTCAGAGGAATCAGACGAGCCATATTTCATTTAGCAAACATGCACATAATGCAAAGACAACTACATAGTCAATGAGTTTTGAAGTTCAGTGGGAGGTACAAGAGTGTTATAATGCCTGTAGTGACAAGCTGTGTAGATGGCAGATAAAAAAATAATCTAAATTCTGGAGAGGCACGTCACTCAACAGAGAACCTTTGCGCTGCTGCAGACTATATCATAGATGAGACCGAACTGTGAGAGGCTGGAAAAGGAGGGAGTGAGCGGAGAGTGAGCGCCGGGGCACTGACAACACGTACGCTGTAGGCCAGGTGATAAGCCCTTGCTCCCAGGTGCTAGACAACATGAATACTTTCTGGGATGGCGTGCTAGAGCGGCATAACAATGGCCATATATTATTCTCACCGTGCACAGCTTCTGGCCTCGCTGGTGCAGCACCCACTGATATTTGTTTTCCCTGGCAGCGTTGCGTGGCTCAACCTCAGCAGCAAACAGCAGGTTGTCCTCTGCATACTCATGACCTGAGGGATACCCAGTGGACACAGAAACAAAAGTCATGCTCAAACCAAACTAAAGCACACTTAAAAGCTTACACTTTATGTAAGTCCCCCATACAACCCATAATAAGACTGTAAACAAATGCATTTGTTGGCCACCACATCCACATCACACAAACACTGCCACAGAGTCACTGACAACTGTGAAGATTTTCGTACCTGGCCATAATAAAGTATCATCACTCAAGGAGGCGACTGTATCCAGAGATGACAGCATTGTTGTGGCACTGCCTTCAAACATCCTCCCTGAAACCACCAACAACAACAACAGGTTTCACAGGGTATCTGCAAATTTTAGAGGGTATCGGCTCGACATTTAGATGTCCAGACTTCACACTTTAGACCTTTTCATTGCTACCTTAAATTTTTTAATTGGTCAACTGCAGTCTTTCAGTGGCCCATTAGGGAGTACAAAGACCTGCATTATGTGTAGAATGATTCCACATCAGAGGTCTCTGTTGCTCTGTATTCTTTTCTTCTTTCTATTCCTTAGTGTGTTCTGGTTCTATCTGATTATTTCTGTGGATCCCGTTCTCTTGCAACTCACCACATCCTGAGAGGAACACCAGGTCACCAGAGAAGAGGCTGGAAGGGGCGCCAACCCCCCGGCCATCTAAGAGGTAGATCATGTGGCCCACTGTGTGTCCAGGAGTGAAGAGGGCCTTAAAATGCATATGGCCAACTGTTACCGAGTCCTTGTGTGAGAGAGGGCTGAGAAGACAAACGAAGATAAATATAAAATGTATTTCATCATCATTTTAGAAAATACACTGAATTCCATTAGTCTGATGTCGTCTAGCTTAAGACGACCCCCTCGCCCCCCATGTTTATCATACCATGATAATTTACTGTGAAGTCAGCTGCTACGAGTGCTGACAGAGGAAGGAAGACAGGACAAGAGTACAGTCACACGGATTCTGTGGGAAGCAGTGCTATACTGTGCGAGCAGGGACTTACTGCGTGAGGCCAGGAATGTTGTCAGCTGCATTTCCATAAACTCTGCATGAACTGTGAAGCCTTTTCAACCCTTTGTTTCCCCCACTGTGATCCCTGTAAATGGAACAGAAAGCAGATTTTTAAGTGTATTTCACATTAGTGTATGAGCTTCCTTAAGATTAGATATTAAACACGTTATATGAACACCAGCAATAATGTGCATGAGAAAACAGTGTTCACTTGACACAGTGTTCAGTTTTTTGTTATCTTTTGTCACACTTGGTATGTTCAGTCCCATTTCCTCATGTTTTATAGCCTATATAAAATCTAAAACATAAACCACACATTAAAATAATATGTATGGATTAAAACTATAAAACTCACCAATGCTTGTGTGTACAGAGAATTGCTTCTAACGTCACTCCTTCTTCCTCGAGGACTGCCTGAAAAATTACAAGTGCTGTTTAAACCTTAAATCAGCATATAAAACAACACTTCAGCAGCCTTTTACTCAAAAGCCCTTTGAGCTGCAAAACATTTCAGATTCTTGACACAGTATGGCATTAGTAATTGGACTTGTGATGCTGCTGAGCTAAAGCTGTTGACAATCAATAGCTGCAGTGAAATACATTTGCTTGTAAGGCTGCAGTAACAATCAAACACCAGAGGAGTCAATTTACAATACCTGACTAAGTAAGAGAAAGGCACAATTGTCACACAGCCACTTTGGATTTGTGGGCTTGATGAAAGTGGCTTGCTGTCAAGAATTATGTCACTAGAATTACTAATAGCTATCTCTTCTTGTGACAGAAAAAGCTAATTGCACAGTAATTCTGTCATCATCTGCATGAAAAGCCCCTGAAAAGATCTTTTACTGACAGAAGAGGCATTCACCTGAACTGTTTGAGGGTCTGCAGGGTCTACAGCAACTGCAACACTGGAAGCCGTGTCAATTACAAGATAGCTGTAGTTGTCAGACAGTACCGAGATGGGAATTATTTTGATACCTGTGGGCAGACAGATAATTACAAATTAAGTACAATATTAAACATTTTCATTTAATATGGTAGAAGCAGGCATGTAGTACTAAAATATATACATACTGTATATTGTGCATAGTGTGTCTTGAAATGATAGCACCTCTGCCCTGATGGTAATGACACCTCTATATCCTGTACAACATGTGGCACTGTGCATTATGTTATGACCCAATCAACGGGGCTTTCTGTTTTTGTGGATGGCACTCAGCCAGGATCTCCCCACAATAACCGTGGAACATATGAGCGACACTGTATGAATGTAGTGAACTGTAAAATGTAGACTGCTGCATACCATTGAACTCCATGGGATGAGCTGTGGAATGTCCAGCTGGGTAATGTTCTCGGGCTTTCCTCATTTGCCTCTTGTAGTACATGTAGCCCAATCTGGTCCTGGTGTAGAGTGTGTACCTGGGAAACATTTCAGAAGGTTAGGAAAACAGTGTGCCTGGTGGCTGGGGTTGATACTGCTACACCATGTAGTTACATCTTTCAAAAGACAGGGAGGGTGGTCACGCCTAGTAGGCGTATATGAGTCGTATCTGCAATTTTAGGGTGGCCGAATTAATTTACTAGCGTTAACTAGCTACATAACGTCACATACTAACGTTACGTCTCCTCCAACAACGTCTCCTCTTACAACAATTTGCCAAACTGGTCATCTGTGGCGCGTAGGCATGCCGAATAAAACAGTGGCTATTAACAGTTTAGCAAAGGCTTTATACTGAAATTTCAATGGTAGAATTTAAGTCTACTAGCAAAGCATCTTAAAATTGGATCATATTTGAATAGAGTTTGGTTGGACGGCCTCGTCCCATCAAACTAGATGTTGCTAAGCTACGCCAACGAGAATCACGATAACAAAATCTTGTTTTCTTAAGGAAGGTTATACAACACTTACGCGATTCGGAACAACGGCTTCTCCGTGCGGGCCATTATTTTGGTCAACACTTTCCTCCAAAACACTTGTCCTGTGCGTCTGTAGCGAACACATATGCAGAATATACAGAAGAAGGATACGGTGGCAACCAGCGTTATCATCCAGTCAGGAAGAAGCGCCATAGCCTCTGTGCGGAACGTAATGACGTCTTAAGGGACACGCCTACCACGGAAGAGAAGTGAAAGTTTTTTATTATTGCAGAATACAAATTTAACAAACAGTAACTTCAAAGAAAAGGAGAGTTTAGGACTGAGCAAACACAATCACGATTGTGAGGAGGAGAGAAGTCGTAAAATGTTTGTATCAGAAGTGGCGTTAATTGTGAAAATATAAATAAATAAATTTAAAATGTGTTGTGTGTTTTTCTCATATCATCATATCCCAGTCCGCTGTGATTGTGCTTCATGAAACGTGTGGGGAAAAATAAAGTCATTAACATAACCTAACGTTGTTTTTATTTCGTCCCAGAAACATTTTTTGACGTTGTGTCAAGAAAATTGCTTTTCTATGATTGAAAGTATAACTTAGGTTTACACATTATTTTTAGGTTAAACGTATTTCCATTAAACGTTAATTTAAGAAATGAACACATTCATTGAGGTATAAAGGTAATTTATTTAGGCTATCATTGTACAACACAAGGTTGTATAACGAAAGGAAAGTAGGCCAATGTAGTCATGCTACACACGGAAATTAACATGTAGCCTAATTAAATGCAGGCCTATATTAAAATATTGTAACAAATAAAATACAATAACACTTCTATACACATGGGACGGTGCCATAGCTATAAATTCGTTCCACCTTGATTAAGTAATTGCGTAGCTATGGCGTCAAAATGGAATCGAGCCAGGTTTCAGTCGACTTCTAAATAATTTAGCGACACCTAACGTTCCTTGTGGGACATTCATTAACAGCTCCTCAAAATGAGACAAAATACAGTAGCTTTTATAGTGGGCCTTTTTAATTAAATGTTGGTCAACTTAGAAGAAAAATATAATATGCTTGTGGAAACATATTTTATCAGGACAACTGCTTAAAAAGCAACTCAACGTTGGGAGTAACATCCATAAATGTTTGCAGGACACAGATACACCCAACATTCTGTTTTTTATTATTTTGAATAGGATCATGAGCAACCAGAGTCTCCATGCTTTCTGAGACACATCAGTACCAGTGTGAGTTTCAGTGAACATATCCTATTACAAAGATGACATCCTCCCGTGGTGCAAGTCTGCAAACCTCCCTGGAGAGAAGGACTGAAGGGCACAGTGTTCCCATCTTAAACTAAAGCCACAAGGTAATTAACATTTCTTTCTTTCTTTCTTTGTCTAGGTTAATTTGTTATGTTGAAAGTCAGGTTAGGCTATCATTTTTGTCATTGTTCTCTTGTTTTACAAGTTTGTTACAAGTAGCCTACACAGACATAGCTCAGCAGACAATAACAGAACTTTGGATCGTTGCTTTGTGACAAGGTGGTTTTAATTGTGTATAATAATGAATTGAATAATTCTTAATAACATACTGACCAAACTAAGCAGTTAGAGGGTGGGGATATTTTTTTACACTTGTAGCTGATCAACAAGGTGCTCTATTCAAGGTGGTCTGGCAAGATCATGACGTCTAAACTTGATAATCCTCCACCCTATGAGGACGCACTGCACCATCCTAAGAATGGAAACTACCCATACCAGCCACAGAATGGCACCCCTCTTCCACCACCTCCATCTTACAGTCCCGGACCTGGCATGTGCCCTGGGCCGCCTGGCTACTGGGGCCAGGAGGGTGTCTACCCGCAGGCCGGGATGTGGGCAGCCCCTGGCTTCTCTCCATCCGGGGTGCCCACCACAATACCAACTCTGTCTGCTGGAGTGCTCACGTCCGACCAAGGTTCTGAGGAAATTTAACAGGACTTTAGTTAATCACATCCTGCATTATATTTAGATTAGCCCCAGAGTGTAATAAGTATAAATTACCACTTCACTATTCCCAATTCTGCAGGAGACATGGATGATTTTCTGAGAACCCAGTGGGAGAGCACATCTATTCGGCATGCCTTCATTAGGAAGGTAAGAATTTTCACCATCGATCACATCACACAGACTTTTACTGTGTGTTTCTTGTTGTTCAGAGTGCCAATGACAATCCTGACTAATGACCTATCTCATCTACAGCCACTGAAATGTTTTCTTGTGTGCTCAACAGAACTGCTTGGTTTTGTGTTTGTGGGCAGGTTTACTTAATTTTAACAGCACAGCTTGCCGTCACCTTTTCAGTTGTTGCTGTCTTTACATTTGTGTAAGTGCCCCCTGTTCATCCCAATCTAATATTCCGTCTCACTGCTTACTATATCTATGTGGAGGGTGAGGAACACTCTACTTCTGAATGATCCCTTATGCCTGTGCTTTCATAGAGACCCAGTGAGGCTGTTTGTCATCAGATACCCTGGCATCTACTGGGCATCGTTGTGAGTGACACTCTAGGAACAAAACAAAAACATGCATTCAGTGCAGTTAAATAAAAACATAAATAGAATGTGCAACTATCTAATACCATCACTGCTATTATAATCATGCCATGCTGTTATATATAGTAACAACAGTGATTCATGTCTCCATAGTGTGGTTTATATTATAGTTTACTGCATTCTCATCTGCTGCAAAGAGCCGAGGTAAGCAATGCCTGTCTGAAGAAGTTAAAAAATAGCATACTGCTAATGTGCTTTTTAAAAAAATATTCATAACCAGTAATGAAACATCTGTTTGTATAGATTTTAAAATGTTCATTGCAATTTGTGTTTAGGAGGCGTTTCCCATGGAATCTGGTGCTGCTGGGAATATTTGTAAGTATTGTTTGTTAGTTGCAGGTGAGAAGCCAATGTTGGTTATGGTCCAGCAGATACATATGGCATAAGTGAGAACATATTGTGAATAGTGAAATAATATCTTGAGTTGAAGACTGTAAAAGTAAAACAAAACAAAGAAAAATAAACAGAAAAGGTTTAATCCCCCTGTGTTGTTCATGGCACATTGTTCTCATGTTTAATCCTGCAGACTCTTGCCTTGTCTTTCATGGCCGGAACAATTTCGAGGTTAGTGTTTGCCTCCAGCTCGGGCAATACACCACAACACACAAACACATTACATTTTGATAATGGTGTGTTAAATCCTGTGATGTTTAATGTGTTTTTGTTTTAATCACTATGCGTATCTTTCGCAGCTATTATGAAACAAAAGCGGTGTTTCTCGCCATGGGAATAACAGCAGTAGTTTGTGTAGCTGTCACAATCTTCTGCTTCCAAACCAAGGTAGATGGAGATGTAAACTGTGTCTCTCTGTAGCTCGGTAGCCTGTGGCTTGTCAGAGGATGTCTTTGTTGTCAGTGTAAAAGAATGCCTTTGTCTCGCATTACAATGGGGCACTGAGTTCCTTTAAATATTTATAACGTTTTGCAATAAGATGTGAATCCAACTTCTCTGTCTGATGCAACTTAAGATGAATAAGCTACATTTTTTTTGGCTGAAACATGACACATCCAACCCATATTTATACATATATATATATTATTTTTTACCCTCTTCTGATTCTCTTTCAAATTGATTTCTCTTTCATGTGGCTTGAAGTGTATGAACTTCACTTTCATCCTGTTAATGACTTGTTTCTCATCACAGGTGGACTTCACCTCCTGCGGGGGACTTCTCTCTATTTCTGCCGTTTTGCTTATGATCATTGGGATTGTTACAGCTGTCGTCCTCTCCTTCCAATACGTGAGGGCTCTTTGGTCAAGTTCTTTAATGCATTCTCTTTACTCTTGTTTCTCAGTGTGAGGAGTAGCAGCTCAGTAGGGTGCATCTGTGTGGCTGATTTCACATTCAGGGGCCTTTCTTATGTCACTCAACAGGTCCCTTGGCTGCATATGCTCTACGCTGCAATTGGAGCCATTGTTTACACTCTGGTGAGTCTGCGCTCACAAATTTAAGGAGAGCATTTCATCCTGGTATTGCAAGGTTATTGCTGAATAACAAGATGCATAATGGTCATACACAATTGCTCCCTAGACCTAACACCAAGCTGGGAATTTGCTATTTCTAGAGCCCCAGACCCATCAGGTGTGTCTTGATGTTGGTGCAAGAGGAAAGGCCATGAGATCAGAAAAATGAAAACCCTATTATATGACCATGAATGTGCTCAGGAAATGTTATAGCAATCTGCCTATCAATTTATGCAGTATAATCTTTTGTAAATTGATATTTTAGTCTTACAGTGATGCAAATGGAAAGACCATACCCAAAATTGAAAGTGTTGAATGGGATTGTCAGTTAATTTCATGACAATTTTCCCATTCATTTTCTTTCTTTCTTTTTTATTCTTTAGTGATCTCATGACTTTTCCATTAAGGGACACCAACAGTTTTCAGTCAAATTTAAAATTCTCTCAACATCCAACAGAGGAATTGGCACAACTAATCATTGTTGTTGTTTTTGCACCCATTCACCATGAGCTGAACTCAAAGATCTAAAACTTTCTCTATTTACAAAAAAGGCCTATTTCTCTCAAATATTGTTCAAAAATCTGTCAAAATCTGTGTTAGTGAGCACTTCTCCTTTGCCGAGATAATCCATCCACCTCACAGGTGTGGCATATCAAGATGCTGATCCTTCTTCGCATAGAGTTGATCAGGTTGTTGATTGTGGCCTGTGGAATGTTGGTCAACTCCTATTCAATGTGCAAAGTTGCAATCAGGTCGATACCCTGAGGAATACGACGAGCATGCAGATGAGCTTCCCTGAGATGGTTCCTGACAGTTTACTGTGCAGAAATTCTTTGGTTATGCAAACTGATTGTTGCAGCAGCTGTCCGGGTGGCTGGTTTCAGACGATCTTGGAGGTGAAGATGCTGGACGTGGAGGTCCTGGGCTGTTGTGGTTACACGTGGTCTGCGGTTGTGAGGCCGGTTGGATGTACTGCCAAATTCTCTGAAACGCTTTTGGAGATGGTTTATGGTAGAGACGTGATCATTCAATTCACGGGCAACAGCTTTGGTGGGCATTCCTGCAGTCATCATGCCAATTGCATGCTCCCTCAAAACTTGCGATATCTGTGGCTTTGCGCCGTATGTTGGAACTTTACATTTTCGAGTGGCCTTTTATTGTGGCCAGCCTAAGGCACAAATGTGCAATACCCATGCTGTCTGATCAGCATCTTGATATGAGGTGGATGGATTATCTCGGCAAAGGAGAAGCGCTCTCTAACACAGATTTTGACAGATTTGTGAACAATATTTGAGAGAAATAGGCCTTTTTGTACATAGAGAAAGTCTTAGATCTTTGAATACAGCTCATGATGAATGAATGGGGGCAAAAACAAAAGTGTTGCTTTCATAATTATGTTGTGTATAAAGCAAAATCACAATTCTCCTGTTTATACATGTTTCTGTTTTACACTTGCTATGGCAATAACGCTCATTTGAATTGAATTAAACAGACATTCAAGGTTCCCAGGAGGTGTTTCTTAATGTCCTTGTTGGTCCCTTGACTATTACTTTTAGCCTCACCAAGAGGTGCACATTTGTGGTGGTTCTGAGTGAAATGTCTTAACAGCTTTTGCTATGAAATTTCGACATGAAATTTCGACACATCTATGTCCCGCTCAGGATGATTTGTAATAACTCTGGTGATTCTGACTTTAAATCTAGCGCCATCATCACAGTCAAATTTTAATTTACCCAGTTCTTTGGTTTATGACCAAATACCTTTAAAACTAATGACAATGCCATCAGACTCTGTTCTTTGTGCTTCCCATCAGACCTGTACTTTGTGTGTAGCACTAATTAGTAAATATTAATATGCCAGCATGGGAAATATAATAAACTGCAAATACAGACTCACAGAGGTTTGCATCTCCATACTGCACTCACAACAGAAGCAGACAGACCCATGTTCCTTTTTTTTTTGATGACTGAACCGTGTCCTGTCTTCTCTTTCCCTGCGTTAGTTTTTAGTATACAATACCCAGCTTCTTATTGGAAATCGAGAGTTGGCCATCAGCCCAGAGGAGTACATCTACGGAGCGCTCTCTCTCTACATCGACATCGTTCACATCTTCCTCTTCATCCTTCAAGTCAGTGGAGCTGCTACTGAATAAGCCCATGGTTAGAGCACAGCTTGCTGTCTACCAGGATGTTGTGTTTTAAACATAATGCTACATGTACACAAGTGTGTCACTTAGGAAGTTGCATTACCAGTTATCAATGGTGAAATTCCTATCTATTAATGTAAGTATATACAAGTTTATTTTTTTATATCAGTAACACTTGAGTAGGCCTACTTATTGATCGATCTACTCTTGCACTGTATGTAGCACGGCAGTGAATTACGTCTTTCACTTACCCAGCTGGGAATGAGGGGAGAAACTGAAGCCTTGCCTTCTGTATGGTTGTCATTTAATATTTTGTCTTGCTTTTGTGTTTCAACAAGTCGTGTTTTAATAGATCACAAGTGCTTCATATGCAGCCATGGGAGAGAACATCGACACTATACTGGAAGGGATATAAAATGTGCATGCTTAAACAACATATTAGTCTGTGAAGTATTACTTGTATCAGTAGTCATCATTATTGAATTCAGAAGCAACACACACACACACACACACACACACACACACACACACACACACGTTTTTGTTTTAGACGTTTTTTTATTATTTATTATTTGTGTTTTGTCCTCTAATTACATACAAAACACCTGTAGTTACAAGCATACTGCTGGAGACCACAATCATTAGTCCTTAGTCTGTGCTGGTCGTAAGAGGGACTCAGATCTGTATTAAAGTAGTTTTTTAACATCTCTGTAGAAAAGTACAAGGACAAACACCGACTCCTTGATTAAAAATGGATTAACTGTGTGCAGCTTTATGACAACTTCCTTAAATCACTGGCCAACTCCTCTCTCTCTTTTATGTAACTGCTATTTGATGTTGTAAGACAACTTTGTACCCCAATCAATAAAGTATACTATACTGTTGCAACTGCTTCAATGGTTAGTCATAGTGGCACGTTAGAGTCATAGAGTGGCACTAGCTCCTATACCCTCTCACTTTCTGGATTGTGGATTAGTATTGCTTCCCAGCACCAGGATATGTGTCTGTTATTCCAGTGATGACTTGGTTTTGTCCGTATGGTTGAAGGTTCAAGGCGTCAGGCGCTTAGGGTCACGTGGGAACATGGAGGTCTGACGCACGTTGTGGAGACCCAGGTACAGCATGCAGACTCTCTCCAAGCCTGGGAGAGACGACAGCTCAGTCACTCATCAAATGTTTATTTATGCCATTAAACACCTATGAGACACCTGGATATTCAGATTCATAAAACAGGTCATCTGTGTTTACAAAAACAGAAAAATGCTTCTGTGGGTTCCCTTAAAAAAGATATTCCTTACCAATGCCTCCACCTCCATGTGGTGGAGCTCCGTACCGGAAGGAGTCGATGTATGCCTTGATCTTCTCCAGATCTGTAGAATCATAAAAAAATAAAGAGCTTCAGTTGTGAAAATGAATTTTAGCCAAATTTTGTTGCTTTCACCAACATTTACAAAACAAATTAAAAATCTATCCAAAAAAATTCCTGGTGTTGTAATTCAAACTGGTTGCCAATAGAGGGAGACAGAGGTGTGATGTAAACCACTCTTACCAATCTGGTGATGGATGGCCCTTTCAGTGAGCAGCTGAGCGTCGTGGACTCTCTGAGCTCCAGACAGGATCTCCTCTCCCCTCATGAACATGTCATATGAGTTGGAGTATTTCTGAACAAAAACAAAAGCAAACCAAGGACGTCAAGAATCACTTAAGGAAAGGAGGGGAACGGGCCCAGACATACAAAAACATAAAGACTTGGAAAGTTCAAAGAAGGACTGTAAGTTGACAGTGCTGTAGCAGTCTGGATCAACTCGGGACTACAGTGGTACTGTAACTCAAAAAGAAAAAGCAGAAAACATGGCAAAGCAATTAAACAAAGCTGAATATGTCTGCCTAAACTGGTTGACGTACAAGACACTCAACAACAAAAACAGCAATTAGCAGCTTTTCTGTGACACTGTTAGCAGGTTACTTATACTAAAAATTGTTTAGTACTTGAATAAATTCTTCATGACTGCGCTGCAGGGAGCCCAGTATGTCCAGCAAAGGACAGAAGGCTGACGAGTCTTTGGCTTGTCTGGTGTTGAGAAAGCTGCTCTCTGGCTCAGTGCAAGTTTAACCACAGGTCAACCACAAAACCCGTTGGCAAGAATTTACACAACATTTGTTATTGCAAATTTCTTACTATTTTGCCAATAACTGTGTATTACTGTATGTGTGTATGAGTAAGTGACAGACTTACAGGGTTGTTTGGATCAGGCATCGTGTAGAATGGCCTAACAGCCAGTGGGTACTTATCCAGCACATAGAAGTCAGTATCATACTGCGGAGAAAAGAGCCGACGCAAACAGTCAGTAGCTGTTTTTACAGACACTTTGTGGATACACCAGACGCCTGTGGATGAATCCAGAAAAGACATCTGCCCTTCTTATTATATAATGTGACAAAGGGGTTACATTACGAATTACTTAAAATCAACCTTTTTGTTATAGTTGTAGGTTGCAACCATGTCCTGCTCTACACAACTAACTCAATAATACTCATTTGTTGTAACTATGATGTGAAGTTGTACATGAACTGTCCTCTAAATTATTTTTGAACTCCACCTTGAGAAACTCTGAGAGGAAAATTCTGGAAATACTGACTGCGACTCATGTGTTATGATAATTAGACCACCATTTTTGGGGGCATTATGATGAAGGCAGACAGCTGATAAGTGCTAATTTCAATGCTGCAACCTATCAAATAATAGCTTTTTAATACTTTACATCCACATGGGAGTTTTTTTCTGACCTGCTAACAATTTTCTACAGTCAAGGGTCCAATAAAGCAATATTCATATTTTTTACACTCTGACGTTAGATTAATGAAACATTTAAACATACCTTCTCCTTGACAAGACGGCCAAGCAGCTTTTCATTGGGTGTACTACAAAACAAAAAGGAATTCACTTTAAAACTCATAACTACATCTTATGGTGTCACATTGTTCACCTGTAGCTTGCCAAAATGTGAATAGCACAATACCATGACAACAATGGTTTACATGCATTTCTATGCATGTGCTGTAAACAGTTCAATAGAACAGCACTGACAAGAATTACCTGAATCTTAAAATATTGCTGAGTTATTTGTTTCACTTCCTCACTTTAAACTCACGTCAAATATCTACTTCTGCTTTCATCAAAATAAATCATCTGACAAAATGAGTGGGATGTGGAAACACAGTGTGATGTATTCTGACCTGAGATCCTCCTCGTCACCCATCTCCACCCCGGCCTCACGCAACATGGCCAAGGCCTCAGTGTACTCCAGCCTCAGAGTGGGCTCCAGGAATTTGAAAGGCTCGCTGGGGAACTGCTTGTTCACCGTCTGGATCTCTGTCTGGAAGCTGATTCAGAGAGACACGCACACGCTAACTTCAGAATTCCTTCCCACACAGAGCCAACTGCCAGACAAATTTGCCTTTAGTAGTTAGCCTGAGAAGGGTCACAGCCCACACTGGTCAGCAACTTTGTGAGATAAAATTTCAGCATTCTAACACTTTTCTGCCATGAATTTTAAACACTGTCCTTGCTAGCTACCATAAATGCTCTCTTAACAAAGTAAAGCAGAGCTAGTGGAGGTAGTAAAAGGTATTTTGATATGTTTTCAAAGCAACATTAGACAACAAGAGCTCCACACAAGCTCAAGTTATTGTTGCTTGAAGTGCTGGAAAAATCAGTCAAAGAATGGCACATGCAAAATTATTTATTACGTCAAGGAGGAACTGTCTGGAAAGTCATGAGAACAAAAGCCAACCAGTCAACCTGCCTAAGAAAGAGGAACAGCGGTCACAAGTTGAAAGTGACCAACCATGAAGATGTTTACAAGGGCTACATACTGCAGCTAGTTTGGCATGAAACCAAGTATGACTCATCTCTGGAACAGTGCGTCCCAAAGACATTTACTTATTTCAATATTCAAAGTTTATTTTTTTATGAAGAGGTAAAGAAATTCAGCTGTTCCCTTGTCTGTCCAATGCCCCATTTTCTAATTTTTAGAAATGTTGTTGAATCTACAGGTGTGACTACAGAATCATGTGAGCAAAAATTAATTAAAGGTGTTTGAGCACTGAAGCTTTTATATCATAGTATATATTTAATGACGAAACTGACAAGAGGATATATTGTAGGAGGGCTACAGAGGGCTTTTACAACCTTGGCTGTACCAAAAGGGAGTAGGCCTCATCCCTGTACTGCTTGAGGTCAGCAATCAAGCTTTTAGAATAAACTGACACTAAGACTTAGTTTTTAAAATCCATGATTTGCGCAGCAGCTAAGACTGTACCTCCTGGTTGGTGTCATTTTTTAGTCAGTGCTGTTCTTCAGCAGTGCAGCCACGATGGTGAGATAAAAACAAAAACAACTACGGGCATACCAAACTGTGAATGCCAAAAACTACTGTTGTACAGGGATAGTTGTACAAGTTTTTTCTTCTTTTTTTTTTTAATCCATTCATTCTGCTTGAACAGCTCTATACATATGAAGGACCGATTCCACCACCGGGAGGCGATAAAACCACACCATAACAGTTTCTTGTTGGAGTGGGTGGAAATCACTCACTTTCAACAGAGCTGACAGCAGTGGATGACAACACTTAATAAGGATTCAACAGCTGAAATATTTTGACCCTTTTTTGGCCATCCACTGAATTTCCACCTCAGGAACTGATCCTGTCAAAATGTGCTTATTGTGTTGAGTAGGAAAACAACGCTTGAGCTTTAACTCGACCTATTCCTTTGAGCTTTACTGTATAAATCCTGATCCTACTTGTCTCTGAGGCCCTTGAAGATCTGCACCATGGTGTCAGTGATGGAGTCAATCACTTCGTGGTAATGGTAGTTGAAAGCCATCTCAATATCCAGACCCACAAACTCAGTCAAGTGACGGTGGGTGTTGGAGTCCTCCGCCCTAAAAACTGAAATGATATAGTTTTAATAGCAACATCTAAACAGAGCAAATGGAAGTAGAGGGAAAAGTTGAGGTTTCAACACATTGTGGTGAAATGGTCATCTGACCCAGAGAGTGCTGAAACAGAAAAAGTGCACTGGGTCAGGTCAAAGGCCAGAAGTACAATAAAAAGGGTCAAGTAAGCAATCTGGCCACTAAATTCAGCATTGTCTCATGAAATGTCCTGAATTCTGAACAACGTATTGATAAGCAACTTTGTGCTTCATTGAAAAGTATTTCCTTTCTAAGGCATGCCTATGGGGAGCTTGTACTTGTGTGATGACTGAATGACATGAGTGCTACATGTATTTAGCCAGCGCTATGCATTATGGTTGTATATGAGAGTGGCTGCTCCGTCAGTGTTGGAAAGTTCTACTAATGAGAAAAGCTGAGCTGCCTCTTTCATTCTGTCTTTCTGTTCTTTCTATGCAACAGGCGGCGCGGTCTTTACACATACAGAGGATCTCTACATCCACTTGTGGCTAAACAGAGTGGAGGCCAGGAACGAGCACATGCACACAACTTCACAGAGATTAAGATTTATAAAAACACAACCAATGCGTACTTTGGGCTTCATGAATCTGTATCGGCGTATGTCTGCCTTTGTATGCACACAGAGTTTTAGTCTAGAAGCTACACTTTTATGCATCTGACCACTGCATACATTTACCCAAACTAGCAAGACAAACTCCGAACAAAAGTAACACAACACCTGCTCCTCTGTGCTTAGGAGCAGCCTTGTGTTTACATGCATTGGCTGCCCGATGGACCTCTGCAGCGATATCAGGCGGAGGAAGCTCCATTTAAACACAGTAATTCTGGCCACTGGGATTTAGAGGCGAGTTGATCTTGGTTCTCCTTACTTGCTGAATTGGTG